AAGAGAGAGAGAGAGAGAGAGAGAGAGAATGAAATACACACTATTTTTACCATATAGAAATGTGTGTGTGTTTGAAGAGAGTTGTTTGAGGGGAGTGAAGAAGGGGTGATAAATAAGTGTATTGCATTTTTGATTGCAGAATTTATGCATCTATGCAGAGATGAAGAAAAAATAAATTCTTAAGCCTTGTATGTGCTTGTATTTGAACCATAGGATTCAAAAAGATAAACTGTTTTGACAGAAGATGTTTACTTGACAAATGGTGTTTCTGGAAATATACAGATCTGGTGGCAGAAAGTCTTCTTAGTCTTGCATGCAGGGAGCCCAGATATGGCACACTCTCTGTCTTCGTATGATGTTAATTCAGGTTATTGTCTGCCAGACTATTCCATTCTGCATAAGAAAAAATCTAATTTAAAAAAAAGAAAAGAGAATTAAATGGAAAAAAAGACTCACTAGGTCATCTTGTCCATGCTGCTGCTAAGTTCAGGGCAGCTCCTTAGCGTATATTATTTTACGCTTTGTGTAAATGGAAGGAGCATCTATTGTTTTTTTTGTATGTGATCACTGGATTTAAGAAAAATTCTATGGTACATGGTGACAATACAATTTTATTAAGCTAAAATGCAAGACACTCTGTCCTTAAGGACTGTGCCTCAGATAAGCAGTCAAGTATAAGTGTATGTATTTGTATCTGTATCTAATATAAAATTCCTATCAATCCTATAAAAATAATAATGCAAGGGACCATGAGTTAGACCTAATATTTGCTTTTATCTTTAAAACGGTTAGAATCTGGTTGAGAGTATTGTCTGGTCTCTACATTTTTGCTAGCAAGGAATTGGGGTGGGAAACCTGAAGAAAACTGATAAGAAGATTCGCTCTACTTGAATGCTTAAACCCATGGTAGGATTTTAAGTTTGTTTTAACTTAATAGCATTATATAAAGACAGTTTGGTATTAAGGATTTTCATTAACAAGACTTATAAGAAAATCACAATAACACAGATAGTGTTGCTGCTAGGCGGTTGCAGTTGGTTGGTTATACGTTTATCTCTAAAGTTGCAAATGTAGTTATATGGCAGAGGAGGCTGGCTGGGATGTCTTCTAAACTGGTCAGGAGTCAGGGGAGGAAACTGCTCAGTGAGGAAGCTAGCAATGGGAGTGGAAGCTCGGCAGTGTTAGGTGAAATGGGTCAATGCTCAGCAGGGAAGCTGGTTTAGGTGTTGAAGTGGGTTGTTGAGAGCAGCCCTAGGAGCCAGATTGGGAAGTAGCAGATGATCTTGACTATTGCAAAGTAGGCACCTGGTAAGGGAGAGGCCCTCAAATAAGCTGCTTGCAACCCTACTCCTTTCCTGCTTCCCGTGTTTCCCAAGCAGCGCCTTCCCTGCTCGGAGTTCTCCAGTCAGTAACTTTCCTTCCGGTTCTGCTGAGCTACTGCTTCCCTATCAGCAGCTTCTTATCTCCAGCTTCCATGTTCAGCCACTTCTAGTCTCAGTGTAGTATTTTCTAAATGGACAGCCAATCTAATTCTCAATTACTGAGGGACAATCTCCACTCATTGATCTATTTTGCTTTCCACAACCAAATCTCTGTACAACTTTTCATGAGTGATGCACCCGAGTATTTGGATTCTAATATCTAAACTGTATTGTTAAATCTATTCACCTAAATTTGGGTTATCGCTAATTATGTACTCTATGTATCATCTGACTTTTAAAAACTAACTTTATATTGGTGGATAATCTAAGCTCTATGCCTAGATGTATAGATTCTCTTTCCCCAACCTGGCATTATATAATTTTTTTAACAATAGCTTTCCTTGTCACTCCTGCCAGTCTCTCTTATCCTCCAGTAAAAGTGACATTGGCTGTAGCAGCAACACCAGCACCCTGATTTCCCCACCACAGTTTCCCAAAACTTTGCCATTGTTTTCAGGATCTGGTTCCACTCCCAAGGAGAAAAGCTCAGCATGGACCCAAAAAATAAAATAAAAAGGGTCATGCTTAGATAATCATGCAGCATGTATGCTGAAGATGGCACAATGAAGGTTGACATAGCAGGAAGGAAATCTTCCAGCATGTTGGCCTGATTCTGAGCTTACTTATACCAGCATAAATCTGGATGTCACTGGAATTACTCTGGATTTGCACCAGTGTAACTGAGACCAGAATTGCAGGTTCTGTATGTAAAGGGTGAGTGTGGTATGGGGAGACATAGCATTAAGATGGGCGTCAGAACCTTTTCATGTGAGTGTTGACATTTTAGCATTGAAATTTGCAAATTAAAATGTTATAGTAAATTTACTTTTGTAGAGAAGTAAGCTTTTAATTTAATTTTACATTATTAGAAAATTTTAGAGAATTATTTTTAGCATTTAGTTAATTGTTGTATAAAATGTATCTTCTACCTTTACTATGAAGCTGTTCAGACTTTTGGTTATGACTGAATTTACACAGCATCTGAGATGATAAGCTCAAACCCTGATAAGTTTGTCATATTCTATTATATTTACTAGATATCTCTGAAGAAAACAAAATCTGCTTTATGTTTTTTTTTTTTTTCCGGTCTCTATCCAAGTTTAGAACTTGCAACCTCAGCTACTGCATACCTGCAACCCTAATCACAGGTTCCTGTAGATGCATGGGTTTCCCGTGTACTTATCTACCCCATTCAAAAATTATTTTAACCCCGCCCACGCCCAAACTATTACAACAAAACACTGTATTAAAGAAAAACTCACCACCAAGGAAGTGCCATCTTGAAAAAAATTCTTGGCCTGCTTGATTGTTCTCTAGTGTTGGACCTGTTGTTCAAGCCATTCCCTACTGTCCAGTGTCAAAGGCTGGGTCCTATTCTGCTAATTCTTACTCAAGTGAGTATTCCTCACTCATGCATATTAGTCCTGTCAAAGTCTGTGTGACTGCTCTCCTGGGTAAGTGTCACTTGAGTGAGGGCTGCAGGATCAAACCTGTATTTTGTAACATGACAAAATGTTTACTCCAGTATGTTGCTCTAAAAATGGGAAATCTCATTGATGTTTTGCTTTCTTCCTTACTAAAGTATGCACTGGGAATAAAAAACACGCTGTTAGTAGTAGTATTTGTTCTAATTAGTTTTACAAAATAGCCTGTCCCTCTACAGCTTTCAACAGTTATGAAAACTGAGCAGCATTATGTTGCGACATTTTATTTGTTATGCTTAACAGCTCTTTAGGAATTTTTATAATGTGTTTTTCTTTTGTGTTTTTCTTTGTTTTTAATTTCTTAAATGATCCCTCTTTTCAGATTTCAAATTATAATCCTTTTCCTGATCCATTGCTGAAGCCCTGTGATCCATGTCAGAAGTACTTCCAGGTCAGATGCCCTTTCACATATTTCCATAAGCAGAATCTTTTAAAATCTTTCTCTTCTTACCAGGCCCATATTTGTTTTAATTTTGCATTCATGAGTAGAACAAGCAAACACTTTCCTTTCTTTTTTTCTTAAACTGATCCTTTCTTAAGTAAATTCTTGCTTTAGGAAAGGTTTTTAAAAGCTGAATAAAAGAACAGTCACAAACAAATAAGTTCTATTAAAAACATTTATGTTGTGTTTGAATACTAATGTTCTTGTGTTTGTAGCCAAAAAAAGCCTTGCACTTTATAAGGTTTGTGACGTGGCTTTTGAAAAATATCAATACGGGCCATTTGGATAATATTGTTATTTGTATCACAGTAGTGCCCCACCCAGGATCATGACCTCATTGTGTCTGACACTGTACAAATGTGATTTAGTCCTGCCCCAAACATGGATCAGTATCTGGTTAAAAGATAGGAAACAAAGCGTAGGAATAAATAATCCATTTTCACAATTGAGAGAGGTGAACAGTGGGGTCCCCAAGGATCTGTACTTGGATCTATGTTGTTCAACATATTCATTAATGATCTAGGAAAAGGAGTGAACAATGAAGAAGCAAGGTTTACAGATGATATAAAATTATTGAAGATAGTTAAGGTCAAAGCTGACTGCAGAGAGTTACGGGGGGATGTCACAAAATGGAGCGACTGGGCACCAACATGGCAGATGAAATTCAACATTGATAAGTGCAAAATACTGCACATTGGAAAAAATAATCCCAATTACACACACATATATAATGGGGGGATCTATATTAGCTGTTACCACTCAAGAAAGAGATCTTGGAGTCACCATGGACAGTTCTCTGGAAACTTCAGTACAATAAGCAGCAGTGGTCAAAAATGCTAACAGAATAATAGGAACTATTAGGAAAGGAATAGAAAATGAGACAAGTCATAATGCCTCTATATAAATCCATTGTATACACCCACACCTTGAATACTGTGTCCAGGTCTGGTTGCCCCACCTCAAAAAGATTATAGTGGAACTGGAAAAAGTTCAGAAACAGGCAACAAAGGTGATCAAGGTTATGGAATGACTTCCATATGAGGAGAGACTAAAAAGATTAGGGCTGTTCGTCTTAGCCCTGGTCTATACTACGAGTTTAGGTAGAATTTAGCAGCGTTAGATTGATTTAACCTTGCACCCGTCCACACAACGAAAGCCATTTTTGTCGACTTAAAGGGCTCTTAAAATCGATTTTGGTACTCCTCCCCGACGAGGGGATTAGAGCTGAAATCTACCTTGCTGGGTCGAATTTGGGGTAGTGTGGACGCAATTCGACAGTATTGGCCTCCGGGAGCTATCCCAGAGTGCTCCATTGTGACCGCTCTGGACAGCACTCTCAACTCCGATGCACTGGCCAGGTAGACAGAAAAAGCCCCGCGAACTTTTGAATTTCATTTCCTGTTTGGCCAGTGTGGTGAGCTGCTCAGCACAGGCGACCATGCAGAGCTCATTAGCACAGGTGACTATGCAGTCCCGGAATCGCAAAAGAGCTCCAGCATGGACCGAACAGGAGGTACTGGATCTGATCGCTGTTTGGGGAGACGAATCCGTGCTATCAGAACTCCATTCCAAAAGACGAAATGCCGGAATATTTGAAAAAATCTCCAAGGGCATGAGTGACAAAGGCTATAACAGGGACCCGCAGCAGTGCCGCGTGAAACTTAAGGAGTTCAGGCAAGCCTACCAAAGAACAAGAGAGGCAAACGGCCGCTCCGGGTCAGAGCCCCAGACATGCTGCTTCTATGACGAGCTGCATGCCATTCTAGGGAGTGCCCCTACAACTACCCCACTCCTATGTGTGGAGTCCGTCAATGGATTCTCACGCAACAGGAATGCGGATTTTGGGGACGAGGAAGATAGCGCATAGCATGCAAGCAGAGAAAACGTTTTCCCCAACAGCCAGGAACTGTTTATCACCCTGGACCCAGTACCCTCCCAACCCACCCAAGGCGGGCTCACAGACCTTGAAGACGGCGAAGGGACCTCTGGTGAGTGTACCTTTGTAAATATTGTACATGGTTTAAAAGCAAGCGTGTTTAATGATTAATTTGCCCTGAAGACTTGGGATGCATTCGCGGCCAGTACACCTACTAGAAAAGTCTGTTAACGTGTATGGGGATGGAGCGTAAATCCTCCAGGGACATCTCAATGAAGCTCTCCTGGATGTACTCCCAAAGCCTTTGCAAAAGGTTTCTGGGGAGGGCAGCCTTATTCCATCCTCCATGGTAGGACACTTTACCATGCCAGGCCAGTAGCACATAGTCTGGAATCATTGCATAATAAAGGATGGCAGCATATGGTCCCGGTGTTTGCTGGCATTCAAGCAACATCCGTTCTTTATCTCTCTGTGTTATCCTCAGGAGAGTGATATCATTCATGGTCACCTGGTTGAAATAGAGGAATTTTATTAAGGGGATGTTCAGGGGTGGCCGTTCCTGCTGGGCTGTTTGCCTGTGGCTGAACAGAAATCATCCCTGCTGTGCGCCATGCGGTGGGGGGAGGGGTAAAGCGATCATCTCAGAGAATAGGGTGTGTGTGGGGGGGTGTTAATTGGGTTTGTGCTGCACGTTAACCCGAAAACCGCAGCCCCTCCTTTTAAATGGCCAACCCATTTTAAATGGCCAACCCAACGGGTGCTTGGTATGGGCAATGAGGGCACTGCTGTTTGAAACCATGTAATCTTAACAGCTTGGTTCACCGTGAAAGAGTCTACCCATGGTTCTCTAAAATGTGTTTTTTTTTAAATACTACTCTCCTGCAGCTGCAAATGTTTCAATGCTCCCCGTATCATCTGCATCCAAGAGGCTAGCGAAGATTAGAAGGCGAAAAAAACGCACTCGTGATGAAATGTTCTCTGAGCTCATGCAGTCCTCCCACATGGAAAGAGCTCAGCAGAATGCCTGGAGGCAGACACTGTCAGAGTGCAGGAAAGCACTAAATGAACGCGAGGACATGTGGCGGGATCGAGGTGATAGGTGGCATCAGAATGATGAGAGGAAGCAGGATGCAATGCTGAGGCTACTAGAAGATCAAACTGATATTCTCCGGCGTATTGTTGGGGTGCAGGAAAGGCAGCAGGAGCACAGACCGCCACCGCAGCACCTGTGTAACGAACCGCCCTCCTCCCCAAGTTCCATAGTCTCCTCACCCAGAACGCGGTGGGTGGGCCACCTAACCACTCCACCCCAAAGGACTGCCCAAGCAACAAAAGGCTGGCATTCAAGAAGTTTTGAAGTGCAGTGTGGCCTTGTCCTTCCTTCCTCCCCTCCTCCACCACCGCACCCGGTGCTTCCCTCCTCTCCCACCCCTCCTGGGCTACCTTGGCAGTTTTCCCCCCATTTGTGTGATGAAGTAATAAAGAATCTATGAATTTGAAACAACAATGACTTTATTGCCTCTGCAGTCGGAGATCAAAGGGGGGAGGGGAGGGCGGTTGGTTTACAGGGAAGCAGAGTGAATCAAGGGGGCGGGTTTTCATCAAGGATAAACCAACAGAACTTTCACACCGTAGCCTGGCCAGTCATGAAACTGGTTTTCAAAGCTTCTCTGATGTGCACCGCGTCCTGCTGTTCTCTTCTAACCGCCCTGGTGTCTGGCTGCACGTAATCAGCCGCCAGGCGATTTGCCTCGACCTCCCACCCTGCCATAAACATCTCCCCCTTACTCTCACAGATATTGTGGAGCACACAGTAATAACAATGGGAACATCGGTTTAGCTGAGGTCTAACCGAATCAGTAAACTGCGCCAGTGTGCTTTTAAATGTCCAAAGGCACATTTTACCACCATTCTGCACTTGCTCAGCCTATAGTTGAACAGCTCCTGATTACTGTCCAGGGTGTCTGTGTATGGCTTCGTAAGCCATGGCATTAAGGGGTAGGCTGGGTCCCCAAAGACAACTATAGGCATTTCAACATCCCCAACGGTTATTTTCTGGTCTGGAAAGTAAGTCCTTTGCTGCAGCCGTTCACACAGACCAGAGTTCCTAATGGTGCGAGTGTCAGGTACCTTTCCCGGCCATCTCACGTTGATGTTGGTGAAACGTCCCTTGTGATCCACCAGTGCTTGCAGCACCATTGAAAAGTACCCCTTTTGGTTTTTGTACTGGCTGCCTTGGTGCTCCGGTCCCAAGATAGGGATATGCGTTTCGTCTATCACCCCACCACAGTTAGGGAATCCCATTGCAGAAAAGCCATCCACTATGATCTGCACATTTCCCAGAGTCACTACCCTTGATAGCAGCAGCTCAGTGATTGCGTTGGCTACTTGGATCACAGCAGCCCCCACAGTAGATTTGCCCACTCCAAATTGTTTTCCGACTGACCGGTAGCTGTCTGGAGTTGCAAGCTTCCAGAGGGCTATCGCCACTCGCTTGTGAACTTTGAGGGCTTCTCTCATCTTGGTATTCTTGCGCTTCAGGGCAGAGGAAAGCAAGTCACAAAGTTCCATGAAAGTGCCCTTACGCATGCGAAAGTTTCACAGCCACTGGGAATCCTCCGAGACCTGCAACACTATGCGGTCCCACCAGTCTGTGCTTGTTTCCGAGGCCCAGAATCGGTGTTCTACGGCATGAACCTGCCCCATTACCACCATGATGTCCAAATTGCCAGGGCCCGTGATTTGAGAGAAGTCTGTGTCCATGTCCTCCTCACTCTCCTCACTGCGCTGCCATTGCCTCCTCGCCTGCTTTTGCAGGTTCTGGTGCTGCATACACTGCAGGATAATGCGCATGGTGTTTACAGTGCTCATAAGTGCCGCGGTGATCTGAGCGGGCTCCATGCTTGCCGTGGTATGGCATCTGTGCGGAAAAAAGGCGCAAAACGATTCTCAGCCATTGCACTGAGGGAGGGGGGCCTGACGACATGTACCCAGAACCTCCTGCGACAACGTTTTTGCCCCATCAGGCATTGGAAGCTCAACCCAGAATTCCAATGGGCAGTGGAGACTGCGG